GATTCAGTATAAGGCAGCTTCCATTCCCCTATATCCAGGACTCTCATGTGGGATTGGGTGGGGGAGGTGTTTGCATAGGGGTCATTTCGTAGAAAAAGAGGTAGGTTTGCAGGCCCCACCGGGAGGTTGGCATGTGCGCTGAGGGGGCGCGGGCGCCACAAGCTAGCCTCGCCTCAGGCGCAGAAACACGTCTGGCCGGCCCTGGCTGCTGTTATGCCTTTGGAGTGCCTTCCTCTCACCCTTCTCACATTCTAAGCAGCAGCTTCTGTTTTTTTGTGTTTCCCTGGTGTCAGACACACAACACACACGTTTGGAACTTGCGGTTTTGTGGTAAGGGAGCTTTACAAGCTCCCCCTTTGAGGATCTCCTGAAAATATCCAAAAGTAGAAGCAGCAATTTTTTGCTTTCTGGTGCTGTTGAGAAGAGGTGACGAAGCTTCCAGGCTTCCTCACCTGGGAAGGGCTGTGTGGCTCAGTGGAAGAGCCTCTGCCTGGCATGCAGAAGGCCCCAGGTTCAGTCCCCAGCATCTCCAGTTGAAAGGATCAGGTAGTTGGTGATGTGAATGACCTCTGCCTCAGACCCTGGAGAGCTGCCACGGGTCTTGAGTAGAAAGTACTGACCTTGATGGGCCAACAGTCTGATTCAGTATAAGGCAGCTTCCATCCCCCTATATCCAGGACTCTCATGTGGGATTGGGTGGGGAGGTGTTTACAGGGGTCATTTCGTAGAAAAAGAGGTGCAGGAGCTCATTAGGATAATTCATTAGCATAACTTATTTGCATATGCCACACCCCCTGACATCACCGGAAGTGTGTCAGAAGGCAACACCCACCGCTCAGGCTCCACTGGACTGTTTTGGATTGCTAGCTATTGAGGGGGGGGACGTGCAGATCTGTCCTCATAGAGGAGGGAGAGTTTGTACCTGAATAAAACTTGGTCTTAAAGGTGCCACTGGACTGTTTTGGACCGGGGGGCCGGGGGGACTCTGCAATTTACCTGGCTGTTTCTTGCTCCGACTGAGGGCTTCTGGGAGCAGGGGGTGGGGCTTGTTGCATGTGCCCACCCCCTGGGTTCTTTACTGCCGGAGCTTCGCTCCTGTGCGCTCCTGCACGAAATGACCCCTGTGTTTGCATGAGGAGGGCTTCACAGGCAGCTTCAACTGTGGCTCGTCTCCTTTTAAACAGGAAGCACCAGGACGGGTGCCAGGACTGTCTGTGTTGGTCTTAGATTCCTGAGACAGCAAGAAGTTGGCTGATGCGCATTTCCCTCTCTCCCTTTCTTGCAGCATGTTCTGATAAATTTGGAAAGAAAAAAAGGATTATTCCTAAAATCGTTGTCAGTGGTCCTTCCAACGAACAGCTGACAACCACGATTAGTGATGAGCTCCCTGAGACGAAAACCATCCGAGATACCGAAGACTATGGTCCATACACTGTGCATTCCAGACCCAGCACGATAGATGCTTATAAGTCCACCAGAGGAGAGCAGTGAGTCAGCAGACCAGGGCGTCAACCAAGCTCATGGTGACGGGCACCACCAAAGAAAGCTAGAAGCACAGCCCTCGTCCCCTCTCAATAAATGGGAATCCATCCCAATGAATCTTTCCTGGTGTAACTGTCCCCACCGTAACTGCTGCACGTGCAGGTGGAGGAAGAGGAGGGGGCAGAGCTTAGCCAGATGTAAGTGCGGGAGCAAGATACTCACTTCCAAATAAATATGTTTAGTAAATGCTTTATGATTCCCAGTTAATAACAAAGCAGTTTTCACGGATGCATTCATAACATTGGGGCAGGGGGCACTTCTGAGGCGTAAGGCTCACTCCCACATTTTTAGGTGCCCACCTAACAATCCCAAATCACCCCCTCAAACCCTTGCTTTGGGGAAGAAGCAAATGGGTGCCTGGAAACTCATCAGTGGATGCCACTTTGGGGATTCCTGTACTTGAGACATTGACACTTTATACGTTTTTGAGAGCCAGTGTGTCCAGAGGGCCACTCTACCATGGAATCTTAAGAACATAAAAACATAAGAGAAGCCAATGTTGGATCAGGCCAAAGGCCCATCCAGTCCAACACTCTGTCACACAGTGGCCAGAAATACCAGTGCCATCAGGAAGTCCAGCAGTGGGGCCAGGACCTTAGAAGCCCTCCCACTGTTGACCCCCCCAAAGCACCAAGAATACAGAGCATCCCTTGCCCCAGAGTCCCTATCTATACCTTGTGGCTCATAGCCACTGATGGACCTCTGCTCCATATGCTTATCTAATTCCCTTTTGAAGCTGTCCATGCCTGTAGCCGCCGCCACCTACTGTGGCGGTAAATTCCATGTGTTGATCACTCTTTGGGTGAAGAATCACTCTTCCTGGGTGACCTTTAGTCAGTCACACACTCCCAGCCTAACCAACCTCCAGGGCTGTTGTGAACGTAAAATGGAGGACAGGAGTACAGGGTAAGCCCTTTGGGTCCACACGGGGAGAGGCCAATAAAGAAAAAAAAAATGTGTAGCAATCCTGTGGGTGGGGGTTTGCATTTGTAACACCCTCAGTCTAGGGACTGCCTGACAGAGCATACATTTTCTCAGTCTTTGTGTACATTTCAGGCACCTTTTTAAAGGGGGGTAAAAAAGCTTCCATGTTGCTATAGAGACCAGGGATAGTACCAGGGGTCTTGTTGTAGAAAAAGAGCTGCCGGAGCTCATTAGCATAACTCATTAGCATAACTTATTTGCATATGCCACGCCCCCTGACATCACCGGAAGTGACAGAAGGCCACACCCCCTGACATCACCGGAAGTGTGTCAGAAGGCCCGGCTACTTACCCTCCTGCTTCATCCTCATTCCCAAACGGAATGAGGATCGAAGCAGAGGGCGGGGTAAAAAAGGGGGCGGGGCTTCACCACGTGACCGCCCCGCCCCCTAGAGGTTCTCTTCCGGAGCTCCGTACCTGAGAGCTCCCCCCCGACTAGAGCCCTGGATAGTACTATGGCAAGCAAGCGCATTGCTCATGAAGTTCACCTGTCTTTAGGAGCCAGGAATGTTCTTGAGGAAATCTGAAAGATGTCTGGAGCTGTACCTCCTGGGCTCCCTCCAAACCAATGTTTTGTGTGTGTGGCACTGCATGCCTCCAAAGGGCAGTCCCCATAGTCAGGGCCTCAGTTCCTGGAGCTCCGGTTGCTGCCTCACCTTCCCCCACGCCTTGGGCAGCAAGGGTCCTTTCCCCCAAGGCTGGCACTGGCAGTGTGGAGCAGCGGTTAGAGTGTCAGTCTAGGATCTGGGAGGCCAAAGTTAAAATCCCTGGTCTGCCATGGAAGCTCACTGGGTGACCTTGGGCTAGCTGCACGTTCAGCCTACCCTGCCTCACAGGGCTGTTGTGAACATGAAACGGAGAACAGTGTAAGCTGCTTTTGAGTCCCCATTGGAGAGAAAGGTGAATAAATAAACTTGTGCAGCAATCCTGTGGGGATCTGAACTTGTAAAATCCGTTTCCCTCGTGTACATTTCAGACACCTTTTTTTAAAGGGGGAAAAATAAGCTGTGTTACTATAGTAACCAGGGCTAAACGTCTCAGCTTTATTAAGATGCAACAAGGCTCCCGGAACTCCAGTTCCTGCCTCACACACACACACACCCCACCCGGTGCCATTTCCCTCATGGTGGACATGGCTCCCCCCCCTCAATTTTCACCCCCCCCAATCAATGCTCCCTCTAAGCTGTGGAGTCTTGTGAGCAAAAATTCTACTTTGTGAGCTACCGGCATCAACGTTTTTTTAAATTGCAGATATAATTACAGTTAAAATTATGTACAACAAATTAAAAGAAACTATCAAGAAGTAATATCCAGTTCGGATGCTTATATTGTTTCTATTATACTTTTTAAAAGTTGAAACTAGTCTATGTAGATCCGGCATTTAAAAAAAATTCACCATGTTGCTCTAATAGTTCAATATAGGGTACCAAATAGACTCAAAATCTGATTTATACTTCTCAACCGAGCAGTTCGAAAGCAAGAAATTGCAAGTAGATAAATAGGTATTTATCTTCGGTGGGAAGGTAACAGCGTTCCGTGCACCTCAGTGTTTAGTCATGCCGGCCACATGACCATGGAACGAGCAAGGGAACCTTTACCTTTACTTTTTACAAATTTAAAATTCAGCTGTTCAGTTAACCGTAACCATAATTTCCTATGCCACAAAGAGAGCAGAGGAGCTATCGCACTTTTCCAGCAGGGCTAAGGTCTTTTTGGCTATTGTCAGTAATATTGTGATTGTTACCCTTCGTTGATATGGGCAAATTTTGTCTATCGTATAACTTAAGAATAAAGATCCAAGTGTCGGCTCAAGAGTATGACCTGTAATTAGAGCTATTTTTTGTATAATTATATTCCAAAAAAATTTAATTATATCACACTCCATCCAGCAGTGGATAAAGGAACCTATACATCCACATTGTTCCGTGCGCCTTTGTGTTGAGTCATGCCGCCACATGACCACGGAAACGTCTTCGGACAGCGCTGGCTCTTCGGCCTGGAAACGGAGATGAGCACTGCAACCCTAGAGTTGGACTCGACTGGCTTTCGAGCAAGGGAACCTTTACCTTTACTTTACCATCTAGTAAGAATCTTAAAGGTCTGAAGCTTTATTGATAAAACTGACTTGTGAGCAAAAATTCTACTTTGTGAGCTACCGGCATCAAACTTGTGAGAGAGTAATTTGGCTCCTGCATAACTTAGTTTGCTCTGGAGCCCTCCTTTCTCAGCGAAGACCGAAATGGGTGAGCCGGAGGCTAAAAAGCGGTAAGCTAGCTCACACTATCTCAGCTTAGAGGGAACCCTGCCCCCCCCATCCCGCAGTTTTTGGAGCAAAGGCCGTGCGTAGCAACCGTTGCTAGGGGATCGCCGAGGAGGAGGGAAGCCAGGGCGAAGGGCCGTACGGCGCCTGCGCGGAAGTGTGTGAGCATGCGCAGTGACTCCACCATGAGAACGGGCAGACTGTGTCTTCGGGAAGTGTCATGGCGGAGGCCGCCTCCGCTGACCCGGAGCCGGAGACTCTGCGACTGAAATGTCTCCGCGGCGGCTTCTTCACGGTGCCACCGGAGCACAGGGTGAGTGGGGAACTACAAATCCCAGAAGCCTCCAGGCGGGGAGTAGCTCCTCCCCTCTGTTCGGGGAAGATCGCAGAGGAAAGAGGGAAGTGAAGAACGGGAGGATGAGGGCGAGTTCCAGCGGGGAAAGGGGGCTACTGAGCATGCCTCCGCCCATGCACAGATGCCCGCACGCATGCGCTGCTGCAGGAGGCTGCAGAGCATGAACCACTCTTGCACTCCTTTCAGCCCTGTTGGCAGCAGAGGGCTTTACAGACGCCCGGGAAAGCTGCGTGCAGGAAAGAGGGGCTTGTCCGGGGGTTCTGCCTCAGAGGTCCGGCCAGCCCTGGGATGGGGACGCTCCGCAGGGTCGCTGGGGCTGGTCTCTCCCACTGGTGAATTAGGCACCCTCCCGCAACTTTCATCCCATAAAGACACAAGCCCTGTTCGCAGTACAGTGAATGTATGTCCATTCCACATGTACACGTCTACGTCTAGATTCCGGTGGACAGTCGTGTTGGCCTGAAGCAACAGAACAAAGTTTGAGCACAGTGGCACCTTTAAGACCAACAAAGTTTAATTCTGGGTAGAAGCTTTCTTGTCACAGTCACAAAAGCTTGTGCCCAGAATTGAACTTTGTTGCATGCACACCAAAGCTTATATCCAGAATTAAACTTTGTTGGTCTTAAAGGTGCCACTGGGCTCAAACTGTGTTCTACACATACATCTGTTTGTAAGACAGAGCCAACATGTGTTCGTGTTGCAACTGAAACCAGGGACTAGTAGCTGGATGAATGTGGGGTATTGTATCACACATTCAGCTGTACCTGTGCTGAATGTCAGATGAGAATGACACAATGCATGTGTTTAAATAACTAAGTGCAAACTCCACATGGTTTGCACATGCATTCATGGTAACGTGAACAGGGCTAGACTCCCTCTTCATAGACTCCCAGTTTGGCACATACCTTCCATGCAAGAGCACTGACTTTTGCTGGCGTCTTGGACCCACTGCTGCATCTCCAAAGGGGCCCAGCCGGAGCTGGTTCCATGACATGTCTCTCCTTTCAGCTGGGAAGATGCCGGAGCGTGAAGGAGTTTGAGAAGCTCAATCGGATTGGGGAAGGGACCTATGGCATTGTGTGTAAGTGCCATTTTCACCATGCAGTGCAACGCCTGGCCTTTGTGTCACAGAGACCCCAGATGCTGGGGAATTCATGCAGGGGGCCTGAGCCACTTGGCTACTTCCCAGGCCGTGCGTCTTCCATGGGGATCATGTGACTGCAGCCATCCTTCCGGCTGGATCACAGATGAGATTCTACTGCTTTATTGGCATCACATATTGAGAATTCGAAAGATCCTGCTTATTTGGAAGCCTTTCCAGAGAGCCTGTGGAAAACCGGAGGGTTGTCATGTGGAACTGTGAAATTCCTGCATGGGAAAGCAGAGAAGGGTGCAAGGGAGCTTGCCCAAAGCAACCTCCTAGGAGAGGCCTGGCCACGTGAACGGACAAAGCAGTTAGAGACTGAGATGTGCTGTTGGTTCGTTTCCCACAGCAGCCGTGACTCTGAGTGGTAGTGGCTCTCGCAGGCAGAGGAGGGTCTTCCCCAACATCTGCTACTTGAGCTCCTTTAATCGGAGAGGCTGAGAACTGAACTCTTGGCATCTTCTGCAAGCACAGCACCTGCTCTGCCACTGGGCCAAGGCCTCTCCCTGGAGCCCAGGGGAACTGAGCAGCCGTTTTGTATGCAGAAGGAACTTCCATTCACTCGGCATTTGAATTTAGACCTGACCAGGGGCTGAGTGCATGGCATACTGTGTGCTGGCTTCTTATCAGTTTGTTGTAGTGGTTAAGAGCGCAGACTGTAATCTGGAAGAACTGGGTTTGAGTCCCCACTCCTCCACCTGCAGAAGAAGAAGAAGAAGAGATTGGATTTATACCCCACCCTTCACTCGGAGTCTCAGAGCAGCTTACAAACTCCTTTCCCTTCCCCTCCCCACAACAGACACCCTGTGAGGTAGGCGGGGCTGAGAGAGCTCTGAGAGAACTGCCCTTTCAAGGACAGCTCTTGTCAAAACTATGGCTTGCCTGAGGTCATAGACCAGCTGCATGTGGAGGAGTGGCGAACCAAACCCGGTTCTCCCAGATTAGAGTCTGCGTACTTAACCACGACACCAAACTGGCAGCTGCTGGTGTGACCTTGGGTCAGTCACAAGTTCTCTCAGAGTTGTTCTCTCAAGGGCAGTTCTCGAGAGAGCTCTCTCAGCCCCACCTACTTCACAGGGTGTCTGTTGTGGGGAGGGGAAGGGAAAGGAGACTGTAAGCTGTTCTGGGACTCCTTCAGGTAGTGGAGGACGGGGTATAAATCCAATCTCTTCTTCTTGTTGTTCTTATCAGGAAAAGGGGCTGCATCAGCAAACGCACGGAGGTGGGGAGGTGGGGGGGGGGTAGGCGGGCTTCTCCAGGGCCGGTCCTAAGAGTGCACTGCCATTTCAGCCCGTGCTCGGGACACCCTGCCGGATGAGATTGTGGCGCGCAGAGGCCCATCAGTGGCTATTAGCCACACGGTATAGATAGGAATCCTCAGGCTGGGGCAAGGGATTCTCTGTCTTCTTGGTGCTTGGGGGGGGTCAACAGTGGGAGGGCTCCTGGTGTCCTGGCCCCACTGCTGGACCTCCTGATGGCACCTGGTATTTTTGGCCACTGTGTGACACAGACTGTTGGACTGGAGGGGCCTTTGGCCTGATCCAACATTGGCGTCTCTTATGTTCTTATGTGAACGGGAAGCTCAGGTGCCTCCTTAGTCTGTATTGGGGGGGGGGAGGAAGCAGGGAGGAGAGGGCTCCAGGGACAAGGCCGCCGCCTCTGCTCCTGCTCTGCTCTTAGTGTCTCCCCCCCCCGGTTCCCTGCAGGGATCCCCATCAGCAGCCTGCGGGAGATCACCCTGCTGCTGAAGCTGCAGCACCCCAACATCGTGGAGCTGAAGGAGGTGGTCGTGGGGAACCACCTGGAGAGGTACTGGGGCGGCTCCCTCTCCGCCACGCCGAGCCTGCCGGTCCTGTCCTGCCCTCTCGATGCTTTTTGGAGGGACTGGCAGGTGGGGTAGAGCAGAGAGCGGGAGCTGGGGTTGGCGGGCAGAGGCGGCAGCCAAGCATGGCTTGCTGGGCGTGGCCGGCTCCTGAGCAGGGGGGCACGCTTCATCCGACTCCTGCCTGTTCAGCAGCTCTCTGGCCTTCCCCAGTAACCGGATACAAGTGCCTGTCATTCTCCTGCAGCATCTTCCTGGTGATGGGCTACTGTGAACAGGACCTGGCCAGTCTCCTGGAGAACATGCAGGTTCCGTTCTCGGAAGCCCAGGTAGGGACAGGCTGGACAGCAGCAGCACGGGGGGGGGGGAGTAGCCAACCATTTTGTTTGCTGGAGAGATTGGCCTCACCAGGATGAAAGACCCATCTCGTGGAGGCGTTCCTCGGGGTTCTGCCAAGCCCTGGTCGTGCTGAAGCAGCGCTAGGCGTAAGGAAAGGCTTTTGGCTTTAAGTGAGGCGCCAGCAAAAGGGACTGAGGATTAGTTGTTGTAGATTTTCCGGGTTCTTGGCATTGTAGGACCTGACGTTTCACCAGCAGCTGTGACTGGCACCCTCAGAGGTAAAACACAGAAAGATGGAGTACTCTCTGTGTCAAGGTGAGATGAAAAATGGTGGGCAGGTGGTTTATATCTACTCAGGAAGGTGTGGTAGGGCTGAGTCATTATCTTGTAGGAGTTCCCCCAGGCTGTGACGTGCTAATGGAGGAACTTTCCTGAGGAGGTTCTTTTGCATGTGGACTTGGCTGTTGAAATCCTAATCTTATCTGTAGTGCTCTTGTAAGATGTAGAGCATTTGGTGTTTTTCAGGACAGGTAACCATGCCCTATTTAAATTCTCTTCTTTCCTGTTGAAATTGTGTTTATGTTTATGAATTTCAATGGGTTCCCTGTGTAATCTGACATGGTAATTGGATGTGTCGTCCAGCCTCTCAGTGTCTTGGAATAAGATACTGTGTCCAGTTTGAGTTAGGCTGTGTTCAGCCACTGCTGATTTTTGAGGATTTGAGGATGTTTGTGTGGAAGTCGAGAGGCCTCAGCCCTTGTGGCTAGATGGGTGGCAAGAAAGGGGCTGAGCGTGAGACTGTGAGGGTCTGGCGGGGTGGTTGGAGCTCACTGTGTCTTGGCAGACGGGACCTGCCAGGAATCAGGCCCAGAGGTTGGGCCCCGACGGGGATCTGATGCCGGTCAGAGCAGAGTGTGGGACCTTCAGGAGAGCTTCCCCCTTAGCAGTGCCCCATTAATGCCCCCCCCCCTCTGTGCAGGTGAAGTGCATCATCCTTCAGGTCCTCAAGGGCCTCCAGTACCTGCACGACAACTTCATCATCCACAGGTGAGGAACAGGCAGGGACCCACTGGCGCTGGGGCCGATGTGCAGCTTCCAGGCCCTGCGGTGGGCAGCAGCCCCACGCGGACGCAGGGAGGAGGGTCAAGGGGCAACCGGGGGAGGAAGGGCTGCTCCCAGGTTGGCCCCGCCTCACCTGGGCCTTGCTTTCCTCTCCCAGGGACCTGAAAGTGTCCAACTTGCTCATGACGGACAAAGGATGTGTGAAGACAGGTGAGCCTCTGCAGTAGCTGGCTTCCCCCCCCCCCCCCGGCTGGCTGGGAAGGCTGCTGCTGACCTGTGACCCTCCCGTCTCCCCTCCCTGCAGCGGATTTTGGCCTGGCTCGCGCGTACAGGGTTCCCCTGAGGCCCATGACTCCCAAGGTTGTCACACTCTGGTGAGTAGCTGCCCCTGCCTGATCATCCCGCCCAGTCAGTACGTGGCAGGTAAGAAGGAAGGGGCTTTGCTTTTCTCTTCTTCCCTAGCAGCTGGGCCAAAGCAACGCCCTCCCTTAAGAAGTCTGCACCATATCAGGACTCTCACAGATGGGGGAAAGGGGGATGGCTTATAGAGAAGCATTAAAAACAAATAACAATGCCTCTTTGGAAGAGAGGCAGAAGTCATGCTTGGTATCGAACCCTGAAATTCGAAGCAACTAGTTCAGTACTGACCATCCCTCGCTTCCAGCTGCACGCAGTGACACTGGCCGGTTCTGGAAGTACCTCTTGGCTGCTGTATTCAGGGACCACAACAGGCCTGCCTCAACCTCTAGACTATCTGGGGCCTTTCAGTTTAGGGGGACTTGATAGAGCTTTCTAAAATGATGCGTGGGGTGGACAGAGAGGATTTTGTTCTCCTCCCAGTATTAGATCTTGGCGGGCCACTCAGTTAACTTGATAAGCAATACATGCTCAGAACAGACAGTCCCCCCCCACACACACTTTACTCAGCTGGTGATTAAATTGTGAAATTCACTGCCAGTGGGTGTCGCAACCACAAATAGTTTTAACAGGATTTCACAGCTCCCTGGAGGAAGAGGTCAGTGGCTGTTAGCCATGGTGACTAAAGGGAACCTCCACTTTCAGAGGCAGCCTCTGAATTTCAGCGCCCCAGGAAACCACACGAGGGAAGGCCTTGGCCTCTTTTCCTGACGTCCGGCCTCCAGAGGAATTGGTTGGCTGCGGTGTGAGAAAGGATGCTGGACTAGGTGGACCATTGCTGTGACATACCCTTTCTTCCACCTTGCAGGTACCGAGCCCCTGAACTGTTACTGGGCACCACCACACAGACCACAGCCATCGATATGTGGTGAGGGAAGACGACCTGTCCTAGTCTGGGGACCAGGGCCGCAGCGGGTGGGGAGGGGAAAAGGACTCAGAGAATTGCACCCTGGGCCTGCCTTTGGAGCTCTGCGAGGGGCTCGGGGCAGACCCAGGCCCGAGTGGGTTGTGATCCTTGGAGCTAACACCAGGGGTCTTCCTCGCAGGGCCGTGGGCTGCATCGTGGCAGAGCTCCTGGCCCACAAGCCCCTGCTGCCTGGGAGTTCCGAGATCCAGCAGATAGACATGATTGTGCAGCTCCTGGGCACGCCGAATGAGACCATCTGGCCAGTGAGTGCTTTTCTTGCCTGACTCCACTTGTGTGGGATTGCATGTGGGTTTCCCATGCCTCCTTCCTTTGGGTGACGGCACTGCAGGGCCCCCGAGGGCCGTCTAACCAGAGCCCCTACTTGAAAGTGTAGCCGTTTACCCACAGTCCAGGCAGAAACCAGGCACCCTGCAAGAGGCCCCAGTGAGCTGTGTCTCCATGAGACCCTTGCCCTCTGCTGAAGGCAAACCCCTTGTATCCTCCAGGGCTTCTCCAAGCTGCCGCTGGTGAGCCAGTACACCCTGCGCAAGCAGCCCTACAACAACCTGAAGCACAAGTTCCCGTGGCTGTCCGAAGCCGGGCTCCGCCTCCTCAATTTCCTCTTCATGTACGACCCTAAGAAAAGGTAATTAGGCAGGAGCAGACCTGTAGCTACAGTGGAGCATTTGGGGGCCTGGCCCCCTGACTTCCATCCAGCCCCCAGGCTCTCTGGGCTGCCTGGAGGACTCCCCACCACCGCCTCTTCCCCAAGCATGGCTTGCTTCCCCATGTAGACAAGCAGCGTGTGAACACTGCAAAAGTGAGTTTCTTAAATTCTATTTATATTTTATTTTTTTACTTTGTGATGTCGGTGCCCCCCGACTTATTTAAAGCCCTCCCCCAAATTACAAAACCCTGGCTACGGGACTGGGGTCTCTCCCCCACCTGGAAGTCTCAAGCCGAGTCCCTCCTCCAGAAGGATAGCATAGAATGAGGGTGGGAATGACCAGACAGGGCAGCTGAAATGGCCCAGGGAAGGAGACCCACACCGCAAGGCAGAAAAGGGGTCAGAGCAAAGTTTGAGTCCAGCGGCACCTTGAAGACCACCAAAGTTTTATTCACGGTATAAGTTTTCGTGTGCACAAAAGCTTATACCTTGAATAAAACTTTGTTGAACAGTCTTCAAGGTGCCACTGGACTCAGCAGAAGAACAGATTGGATTTATACCCCATGGCCCTTCACTACCCGAATGAGTCTCCGAGCGGCTTACAATCTCCCTTCCCCTCCCCACAACAGACACCCTGTGAGGTAGGTGGGGCTGAGAGAGCTCTTTCGAGGACTGCCCTTGAGAGAACAGCTCTGAGAGAACTTGTGGCTGACCCAAGGTCACACCGGCAGCTGCATGTGGAGGAGGAGCGGGGAATCAAACCCAGTTCTCCCAGATTAAAGTCCCCGCTCCTAACCACTGCACCAAACTGGCTCTGACTTTGTTCTGCTGCTTCAAACCAACACGGTGACCCACCGGAAAAAGGGACAGCCACTGAAGCAGCTGGCTTCACAGACCACTAAAGGAGGGTTTTCTTTGCCCATGCAGAGTTAACCCTGTGGTGCCCTCGGAAAGCCGTGGGTGGGGGCAGAGCCATCTGCTGCTGGTCAGAATTGCCACAAGCACCGCCTGCTGTTGCGCTGCTCCCCAGACTCTGGGAACCAACTCTGCAGGTGGACGGGCTGGGCTACTGCCTGTCTGTGGCCATCACAAGCCTCGGAAGGATCAGTGGCTGGTTGAGCTGCCGTCAGCCCGTTAGGTGCGCGGACTCTTATCTGGGAGAACCAGGTTCGATTCCTCACTCCTCCACTTGCAGCTGCTGGGTGACCTTGGGCAAGCCACCGTTCTGTCAGAGCTGTTCTCTCAAGGGCAGTCCTCGAAAGAGCTCTCTCAGCCCCGCCTACCTCACAGGGTGTCTGCTGCGGGGAGGGGAAGGGAAAGGAGTTTGTCAGCCGCTCTGAGACTCCAATCTCCTCCTCCTCCATCCTCTGCGAGTGGGACTCTGCCAGGCACAGGTTCCCGGCCAGGAGCCTGGGACAGATCCCGCCTGCAGGGAGTGACTCCACCACCCTGAGGTGGCCAGTGTTCTCTGGTGCTGCCACCCACCCTGGCCATCTGTTTGGCACACCGGCTTCTGTGGTGAGGGGAGGAGAAACAACCCCTTCCTTTCCAGAGAAGGGCTTTCCTAGAACAGTCAGAGCCCTCGGGAGGAGTCAGTCGGCCCTTCACTGCCTCCCGTGTCTTTTCTCCGCAGAGCCACAGCCGGCGACTGTCTGGAGAGCTCCTACTTCAAAGAGAAGCCTCTGCGTAAGTCTCGCTTTGGGGGTGGGAGGGTGGGGGGACCTCTCTCAGCATCGACGGGGCTCCTTCCCCCAAGCACTGCCTGACCCGGTCTTCTCCCTCTTTCCAGCCTGTGAGCCGGAGCTCATGCCAACTTTCCCGCACCATCGCAACAAGCGGGCTGCCCCGAGTGTGGCCACGGAGTGCCCAGGCAAACGCAGCCGGCCCTGAGCCTGTTCGATGGCACGTGAGACGGAGAGGAGTGGCGCGGCTTGCCTGTGCGGGGCAAAGAGCCGGAGCTTTTCATGGGTGGAAGAGGAACCTGGAGAGGAAGAGAACCCTTCCCTTCTCTCTCACGGGCTCCTCAAATGTCTCAGGGTTTCTAGGAACAGACAGGAGGATGATCTCACTGGATGCCAGCCAGTATTCTCTTGCTGGGTGCCTCTGGACACCGACCAGCAGGGCGTGATGGCACCGGCCTGCCCCTCGCTGCTCACCCCAGCACTGATGGATCCAACCTCTACACACATAATCACGCTTCACCATGAGCCATTCCAGCTGGCCGCTAGCAAGTATTATAAGGACAGGCTATTCTGTATGTTACTTTGCACAGCTAGAGGCTCTCTTGGATGCATCCAGAGCTCTGCCTCAGAGCCCAGGCCAGCCGGGGGCCATGCACCATGCAGAGCAGTATCGGGCAGCCAGGTGAGACGATGCAGACAGCCACTGATCAACCCATCCCCCACAAATATGTCTAACCCTATTAAAGCCTATCACCAGACCTGCTGGCAATAGATACCAGAATTTGATTTGTATGAAACCACCTCCTTGTGTCTGTGCTCAGTGTACTGTCCTTCAGCTTTGTGGGTGACCCCACATCCAAGTATTACGGGAGAAGAAAAGTTCCTTTTTGTTGACTCTTCCACAACCTTCAAACATATAGGTTTTTAAAAAAACAAAAACCCACGTCTTCTCTTAGTAATCGGTTCCCCCCCCCCCCAACTGAAACCCACCGACTCTTCAGCCTTTTAATTAGGGAACATCCTTTTTTCTTGGGCTGCTTTTCCAGTTCTATGAAGCAATTATACATAGTATTCCAAATATGGCAGCACCATAGATGCATCTATAAAAAGGGTGCTATTCTGCTGGCTGTTATAGCAAAGACTTTGGCTTTTTCATTCCCATTAAAATTTTCATTGAGCTTCCCACTACAGCCTCAGATTTCCTCTCCCTTTCGGTCTCCACTAGTTCAGAGAACAAATGTAAAGGAAACAGTTGTGAGAGTCTGACCCACAGATCAAGCAGTCAACAAGACTTGCAGAGAAAATGTTTCTGTATATTATGATCAACAAGCACTACAACACAATAAACAAATTCCTTCAAATCATAAGCAAACCCTAGTGTGAAAATGCATCATCAATGTCGTCTCCGGCTTCTATAACGACGTTTCAGTAGTAGAAAAGCTCTCTTGCTCATAAAGTGCTTTACAAAAAATCAGGCAAGATAATACATTTAGATGGGATGGTGATCTCAGTAAGTATTCAGGCTCATATATGCTGCTAAGCTTCTAATGGATCCTGGAGATGACGTTGATGATGTATTTTCACACTAGGATTTTCTCATGATTTGAAGGAATTTGTTTATTGTGTTGTAGTGCTTGTTGACCATAATATACAGAAAGCATTTTCTCTGCAAGTCTTGTTGACCGCTTGATCTGTGGGTCAGACTCTCACAACTGTTTTCTTTACATTTGTTCTGATTAGGATGTGATTGTCCACATTTGTCTTGCTCCACTAGTTCAGAACCTGTCAGTGTATATTTGAAGTTAAGGGCTTTTTGCCCCAATGTGCATCACTTCACGCTGGCTTACACGGCCCCTCATTTGCCATGATGCCACTCATAAACCCAGCAGGGAGAGATCCTTTTGGAGTGCTTAAAGATGTTTTGGTTTTCACTATACTGAATAATTTGATGTCACCTGCAAACCTGGCCACTGCACTGCTTTCCCCAAACACCAGACCCTTCAAGAAGCACTAAAGAGCACGGTCCCACTGTCCTTGCATTTACATCCTCCTCACCTCTGCTTCCTGTTGTAACAAGTTATTAATGACAGAACTCATCTTGTTATTCCATAATTGCTGAATTTATTAATGGGCCTTTGGTGAGGGGCCTTTGTCAAGTGATTTTTGAAAGCCCAAATAAATGCCTACCACCATCTCACTCTTATCCATACACTTGTTAATCTTCTCAACAAGCTCAGAATGTGGATGAGGCAGGGCTTTCCTTTGCAGAAGCCATGTTGATTCTTCCACAGCAAGGCTTGTCCTTCTGTATGCTTACCAGTTTCACTTTTTACCACTTTGCCCAGAACTTTAGGGGAAATGGCCTGTAATCCCCCTGGATCTCTTTGTTAAGGGCATGTTACCTCTGGTGAGCTGTTTGACAAGTTGCACGTGACTATAAGAGCTCAACAAGTTCACATTTGACTTCCTTAAGAACACTAGGGAAGGGGAGTGTACCATTCTCACTCGCTGACTTAATTCATCTGTCACTTGGCCGGAGCTTGGTGTAGTGGTTAAGAGCGGCAGACTCTAAGCTGGAGAACCGGGTTTGATTCCTCACTCCTCCACATGAAGCCAGCTGGGTAACCTTGGGCCAGTCAGTTCTCTCAGAGCTCGCTCAGCCCCACCTCCCTCACAGGGTGTCTATTCTGGGGAGAGGAAGGGAAGGTGATTGTAAGCCGCTCTGACACCTTCAGGTAGTGAAGGGTGGGGTACAAAAACCAGCTCTTACTGACTTACAACTCTTCTGTCCCCCTGCATTTCACTCAGTTCTTCAGTCACCAACTAACAAAGCAGCAGCTCCGGCCTGGACATCCCCCAGACACCTTTGGCAGTGCTCCTCCTACAGAGGTTTTATTGATTTCACTAGATATTGCCCACACAGCACTTTTTAGCAGCTCTTTGCAGATATGGGTTAGAAACCTGGGAGTAAATTTCTGACAGCTGAATTCTGCCCCCATATGCAAACTCCCCCCCACCCCCAGGTGAGCGCTCTTTCCGGCTCCAGTGGAATCATGGCACCAAGACACACGCTTGCCAGGCACAGTCAAACTTTACATTTTGGAAACAACTTGGCAGTACCGAGTGCTGACAAAAACAGTCCCGAGTGTTGGCAAACAAGCCTGGCACAGAGAACGAAGGCGAGTCGGCGAGAGGCACAGGGGCCCTGGCCACAGCCTGCCTCACGGCAAGTTATTTCACCTTCCCTTTTGGAGGGACAGAGTTGAGGCAGGACAAAGCAGAGGACTGCCCCCGGCATCGGGAGGAGCTGCCAGGACTCCCCCGTGGCTGTCAAAGCACTGTGGTTTTTCATGGCACTCCGCCCAGCAGGCTCCTCGCAACCCTACTGCAGACCACCTCCCCCCCCCACCGCAGCTCTCTCTGCAACTCCCCCCCCCCGATAATTTTGCAGGAAAGGCAGCGGCGTCGCAATCAAGACGTCTGCTGCTCCCTGCGAGTGCTGTGAATGGAGGGGGGTGTGGGAGAAAGTTGCTGCACAGCTGGAGAAACAGATTCCGGCTGCCAAGGAGGCAGTCCTATAAATAGCTGAAGAAACAGCCTCCCTCGACGGCGTCTTCCTCCCACCCAGTCATTTCGTTTCTGCCTACAAAGGAAGGGATCTGGAGCTCTGCATCTGCCGCAGGCCCTGCTTGGGCGGGGAGGTGCTGGGGGCCACCCCAGCTGGAGCAGCCCTCTCGCCCCACGACGCCACTGCCCTGCCCAAATCAAGGGGTTGGCACGCCCAGCCTCAGTGAAGCCACTACACCGCCTGCTCTGTATCTTAGCAGCCAATTCAAGTGGTGAAAAGCCACCCCCTTGAAACCCATCTCTTTGCCTGCCTGCTCCCAATGCATTTCCTGGGCAACAGGAACCGGGGGGGGGGGGGGGGTTTCGCCAGCCGGGGATCACACCGGCAGCGTGGCAGGGAGAGCTGGTGCCGGATTCTTGTGCCTCCCGTGTATGACTGTGGTGGGCGAGGCTCCCTGGCTTCCCCTGTTATCTTCTGGCCAATGCAGCAAATCGCTTCTTTACCCATCTGGCTTTTCTGTCCAGTTACACAACTCTCGAAAGCTCTGGTGGGGGCAAGCACTGAGTTATCTGTCTGGGCTTTTTGAAATGAGAACTTCAGCCCAGGATGAAAGTCCTTTTGCTGAAATGTCCCACTGGCCCCCACAAGGGGGGGGGATGGACATCTAGAGAACCTGCCAGTTTCTATTTAGCGTATTTCACACTGCACCTTCTGTCAGACACGGAGTTCTTCCACAATAAAAGGAGGCTGAGGGCCTCCTTTGAGGGTGATGTCCTCGGACTAGAACCAACGTGAAGACCCGTGGCCCCCTTCACCCCTAACCAAAGGGGGGGCCCCTGCTAATCTTGTGGCCTCTTCAACCATTCCAGGTAATGCAAGCTGAGCTGCCAGAAACTGCCTACCCTTTGATGCATTAGGACTGCTGGGCTAGTCAGACACCCACAAGAGACCCCTCTTGCAAAACTTTTGCAGTCTGAAAGTGCGCAAGATGGACTTTTGCAGCAGGGCCCCCCCCCAACTCCTGTTTGTTGAGGAGCAGGTGGAGCTAATCAGGCTGGCGGGGTCCGGAGCAGCTTGCCCAGCGAGGCCTCTGCCTGGCCTTTTGCCTCTGCTGGGTTTTCAGCGTGAAGCACCAGGTTTTGGCACACATGAGAGAAAAAAGGAAACCCACCCAGAGAAGTGTGCACCTGTCCTCCCCCCACACATTTTCACACTGAGAGTTGGGAGAAGTCCTCTCTGGGCGGAGGGTAAAGAGAGCCAAGCAGAAAGGATGAAGAGCGAGTTTAGTGGGTGCAGCCCCAGGTGGGCCGACCAGGCAAGCGAACCCCCAGAGGAGCAGCTGTGCCCCCTCCCCCCCGTTGCCGGTCGCAGTCCCAACAGGCCCCCGGCTCCACTGCCAGGCCCCGCCCCCCTCCTACAACAGCTTGTCCACCTCCGTCCGCTGCAGCCAGAGGGGCTCCTGCTTCTCACTCTGCAGCTCTTCGACGTGGTGGGCGCTGCGGCAGTGCTGGGCCATTTCGCAGCCGCTGCTGTGCAGCAACCGGCAGCTGCCGCAGCAGGACGAGGGGAGCACCCCTGGGAGCAGGCACGAGTGCAGATTGTAGCGGGGGAGCTCTGGGCCTGCCACCCCCGAGCCCAGCCCCTGCGCTCGCCGCAGGACCACGGGGCTCAGCTGGGGACTCCTCGGCTGCCTCGCAGAAGGAGAAGCTGGGCTGCTGGCGCCGTGCGGCTGAGGGCTGGGGCTGCTGTAGTGGGGGCTGGGGGACAGGAACCGGCTTCCCGGCTGCGCGGGGTAGTCCGTGTCACTCGACCTGCTGAGCTCCCGCCTCAAGGAGATGAAGGAGAAGGAGGTCTCCAGATCAGGCCCCTCGGGGGCCATGAGCCCATTCCCGTAGGGCTGCTCTGGGCCAGGCCCCCACAGCTTGCTTCGGCCCTCCGGCAGGCCCTGGGGGCTCCTCACAAGAAGTTCCTTGCTCCTCAGCCTGGGGCTGCTGCTGCGCTCGTAGGGGGCAGGTGGATGCTGAGGCGGGACCCTGGGTCCTGGAGGCTCACAATAGGGGTTCAGTGCCTCGGGGCTCTCCCTGTAGAGGTCGACCCCGTCGGCTGGCTCCCCGCAGAAGTCTTTGTCCCTGGGCCAGCAAGCCAGGCTCCGCAGCTTGGCCACACAGCCCTCCAGGCCGCCCCTGGCCTCCTTCCGGGCCTGCAGCAGCTCTTCAGAGGAGATGCCGCAAGGCTCCACCTCCTCCACGACCTTGGCCAGGATCTCGCACTCCACCCGGGCGGCAAAGAAGCTGCCAGCGACACGGAGTAGGCCGCCCCCCGGTGGCAGCTGAGAAATCACCAGGTGGAGGTTGTCTCTCTGGACGTAGCCCATCCGGTGGAAACTCCTGGCAATGTCGGCCTCGGAGAGCACCCCTTGGAGGACGTGCACGTAGACGCCTGAAAAGGTCTGCAAAGAGAAACACCCGTCAGTCCCCTGGCCCGCTCTTACGTCTCCCCTCCTTCCAGCACCCAACTACCCCAGCAATGCTCACTTTTATGGTGCTAAATTCTTTCCGCCAGGGGAAGAAGTAAAGATGGACAGCGGCCAGCTCCAGCACCTCAAAGGCTCTGCAGAGGTTCCGGAGGGCCACGCCCAGGTCCAGCTGTCCCCGCAGGGCCCCCGCAATCATGGCAAAGGTGTCTTCCCCTTGCAAGGCACCGTGCAGCTCTGGGTCCTCCAGCAGCTGACGCCACATCATCTGTTTCAGGGATGAGTCTGCACACACTCCTGTGTGGCCCCTGCGGAAGTCCCTCTCCAAGCAGCGGCGGTATTCCTCCTGCAGCACAGTGCCGGGATTCATCCTGCAGCAGAACAAAGGCCAAGCCCTGAGACCCTTCCTGCTCAAAATCTCAGCGACATCCGCGTTCCCACAGCCGATCAAGCCGGCACGCGGAGGTGGCCCTTCCCAGATATGAAAGGGACCAGAGCATCACTTACACACAGCGGCAAGAGCACGCTGTGACAAAGTAGTGCCAATTCAGTCCTAAAAGCTGCAGACCTAAACGACACCCCGAAAACCAACAGGACACACAGAGGTGATCCGCCTGCAGATCTGTTGCTACTTTTTGTGCACTACGCTCAGCACACTGAGTTTTTAAAAATTAATTTAAAAGATTTATTAGTCACCTTTCTTCCATGCAGAGCTCAAAGCAACTTACAGTATAGATAAAATACATAAAAAGCAAAGTTGAAAATAACAATCCACAACCACTAGTAAACTTAACCAAATGCAATCTTAAATAAAACCATCCTCAGCGGCCTCCTGAAGATCAACGGTGAAGGGGCCAGGCGCACCTCCCTGGGGAGGCTGTTCGATGATCGTGGTGCTGCCACTGAGAAGACCCTCTCTCGTGTGCCCCCCCAGATGAGCTTCTCTGTTTGCTGGGACAGGCAGGAGGGCCTCTCCTTGCTGGGCAGGAACAACACAGGGGAGAAGATGGTTCTCTGGCCGGCACACGGCTACGTGGTGGCATGGGCAGACGACAGCCCAAGCAGCGAGCCCCAGGGAGACCTTGCTGCACACACAAGCGCAGTTCCTTGAGCACTCTGCAGGCCACAAGAATCTAACGAGTCTCTTTCATTTCTTAAAGAAAGGCCAGGGTCATTCAGTTTCCCACAACAGACCGGGACTGTCAAGTTCTGCACCTGTGAACTCCTACAGGGGGGCACCTTCCCAGTCACCATTTCCTTGTTCATCCAAAGGCCCACAGTTCCCCAGCTGTCCTCCCGTGAATTTCCCCAAGTGATGGTTTCTTCCTCTAAAGCTTCCAAGGCAACGGCAGCCCAGGCTCTTACCATCTGGTCAGTCCAGAGCCATCCGTCACTCCACTGACCTGCACGCTGGTGCCTCGACTCGCTCGCTTCCCTCTTCATTTTCTGCACCCCTTTCCCTGTGTGTCCAATACTGGGGATGTTATTGTGAGGTGTAAACGGCTTTGAAATGTAGCAGGCAAAACGGTGGAATGCAAGTGTACCAAATAGGTAAGGAATCAGCAGCCAGGTTGCTTGAGGCAGGGACAGTGCCCCCCTCTAAGCTGTGGAGTCTTGTGAGCAAAAATTCTACTTTATGAGCTACTGGCATTAAAGTTGTGAGCGAGCGATTCGGCTGCTGCATAAATTAGTTTGCTCTGGAGCCCCATCCTTCCTGAGCGAAGACAAAAACGTGTGAGCCGGAAGCTGAAAAACTGTAAGCTAGTTCACACTCACTCAGCTTAGAGGGAACACTGGCAGGGAGTGAGCTGGAGTCCCACCTTTCGGCCTCATCGGAGACCCACCGCGGTATACTGGTTAAAGACCTGGGAGAGCCAGGTTTGAACCTCCCCACTCTGACACGGAGGCTCGCTGGGTGGCCTTGGACCTCTCACACGCTTGGCTTCCCGCACCTCACAGGACTGTTGTGAAGATAAACTGGAGGAGAGAGGAATGCTGTGGGCCGCTTTGGGTCCCCCACTGAGGAGAAAAGCGGGCTTATGTTCATTAAATGTACTTCATATATAATGAATGAATACTAGTTAATACAGGAAATGTGTTATAATACAACTAAGTGTGTTAAAGACACAGAAGAGTAATTTTCTTTGGTGAGCCCTATTTTTCCTATTGCAATTACACCAAAGCTTGTCAGAACTACGGCTTGCCCAAGGTCATCCAGCAGCTGCGAGTGGAGGCGTGGGAAATCAAACCCGGTTCTCCCAGATCAGAGTCCGTGCACTTCACCACGACACCAGACTGGCTCTCAAAAGTGTCCCGGGGATCCGGCCACGGCAAGCAGGGGAAAGGGGTGGGGGCTCGCTCCACAGACGACGCCTCTCTTCCTCTTAACGCCCTGCACCCAAGGGTGCTGCTCCAAGCCTCCCCCAAGACAGCCCACCCGCAAGGGAGGAAGGCAACCTGGCAGCCCGGTACAGCTGGCACACCTGGGCAAAGGGGGGGGGGCGTTCCTATCTGACCCCCACGAGGTCTTCCTCGAAGCCGCCCGCCCACCACGGCTTGGGGGGTCTGGATCAGGCAAAAGTGCCACGAAGCCAGCCAGCCCGGCTCTCCCTGCTCTCTTCCACGGGCTGCCAAGCAAGGAGCCCCTGGAAAGCAAAGGGGGGGGGGCACCGGCGGGGTTTTTTCCCTCCTCTGCCCCCCCACCCCCTCTCTTTACGGGGAGGGGATATTTTTAAAGGCTTCGTCCCGACAAGCCTTGGAAGGTGGCCATGGAATGCCTGGGACGCGCAGGCAGACGATGCCGCGGGTGGCACCACCGGGGCGGCCAGGCTCTCGGGGCGCCCACGGAACCCCCTGCCACAGGAACCGTCGCCCTTGGCAACCGAGGAGACGGCGGGGACGCACCTGGGGCACGTGACCGGCCGCTGACGTCACACTCGCTTTCGGGGGGGGCGCCCGCCTCGCCGGAGCCCGAACGCGACCCGGCCGCTCCGCCGCCAGCGCTCCCTCGTCTGCTCTTCGCGTCTCCTCCGCTCGCCGCCGTCACTTCCGGCTCGCCTTGGCCCCGCCCCGGAGCGCCTGCGTCACGCGGCCGGCCGTTAACCCCTGCCGCGCCTGCCTGGCTTCCTGGAAGCGCGCGACGGAGCATGCGTGGCTCGGACCCGCGTGCGGGGGAAGTCCGCGTGCCCACGTGCAGGCGGCGGGGGCGCGTTCGAGGCTCTTCCACCCGGCTGGGCAAGGGGGCTTGGGCAGAGGGGGAGGGAGAGACCGGTCCCTGTGCAGCAGCAGCAGCAGGCCGGGCCCCAGGGCAGGGGGCGCGGCGCACGCGGAGGCCGAGGGTCCCCGGCATGCAGCTGGGCGCAGACTCCGGGGGGG